CAGGAGGCTCTGTGGGCCACATCTTAAGAGGCTCTCAAAGCCATTCTCAGTGTGCTTCAGCTAAAAACAGACCTAAATGCATCACATTTAAAAAATACGTCACTTGTTTGTGAGGATTTGAAAACCTGTCTGTGTCACAAAGACACAGTAATATAATCTTTGCCTCATTAATGCTAATTCTAACTCACAAATCTGAAAAAAAACCCCAAAATGCAAGAACTGGTAGTTTTTGATAATAACAAGAACTGCTATCCCCTTCCAGTGAGGCTATAGTGCAATATCTGTAGATATAATGACTTGCAGACCTTTTAACCTTTTTAATGAACTAGATAGAGATGCTTTAACATTTCCCCCCACCAATGCAAAACACATCTGTATTGACACCCTTCCACACATAGGTCACCTTTAATAGATTAGAGAAAGCTCTGTCCCTTTCACCCATATTGAATTAATTTCAAATTGTTGATGGGAGCATGCCTTACACTAAGTCTGGCCTATCACCAATCTAATGCTTTGAAAAACATGTTGATTTTTTAAATCCTTTGTAGTTTAACTTCAGCTGGGAAACAGAGCAAAACAGATGACAATACCACATTTAGCAAATAAATATTAAAATAAGAACAGGTGATTCATCACACAAACATAAATCAAGCTAACAGATAAGAAAAAAGAAAGAGGAAAAAAAATCAGGTAATGAGGTAGAGCCTAGGCTAACACAGGCACGGTTTGCCCTTTTGGTTACATATCAGAGCTACTCAGATGGTTTCCTGTCTTTTCTTGCAAACCAACAGAGGGTTGAAGTGATAAAGGGAGAGTGCTGGGATAAAATTTTATGCTATTCCTAGAACCATCTGCTTTTTCTTCTTCATTTTTTTTTCTGCTCTTCATTTTGTGGAATTCAGCTGTTCTTTGTTGCACAGAAATAAAAGTTCAGTTGTGAAAATATTCATGAACAAAGCTGTAAAAATTGCCTGTAATTTCCTCCATTTTCAGCCATCTGGTTTTCATTGCTTTGATTCTCTCTTCACTACTCCATACATGTTTACCAAAACTTTTCAACACGTATTGACCAAATTATTGAGCAGTTATAATTAATAACAGAGTTACAACATTCTCTTTCACTCGTTTGAGTGAGCTTGTTGGCTCACCATGAGGTGCTCATGCTGTTGCTCTTATAAACAAGAGCAATTATATCTGATTAGATGATGACTGCCTCTGTAATTCAGGCTGTGGAGGCTGAGGAAAAGACACATTTTGGATGTGAGTAATTTTGTTGCTGAAAACAGCCAAGCTAACATTGAAACAGGGTTCTTCTATTTTTTTTTTTTTTGTAGTTTAGAATACTAACATAGCAATTAGCAAAACTGAGTGATCTCTTTTGTTATTTTTTTTCACTTACAAAAGAAACTTCTCTAGACACTGAACAGCTATTCTGAGTCTACTTCTGGAATACTGTGATCTGCTCAATTATTGCTATGTAATTCTTCAAGTGGTACAGTTTGACTGACACAAATTAAGTAACTGAATGACTGAATTAAAATTGTCATAGTCTTCATTCCTCTCTTTCCTGGAGAAAGCATGCTGGCTCTCCTAGTACATCCTTCTTCTAGAAATATTAAACTAAGTTAATGACAACAAATTTTACTCTGTAGCTATTGTGTTGGAAGTCAGTTATTAGCTCCCGACTTAGCAATCAGCTCTGCAGTGTTTCCCATTTTATTAATTCAGTTCAAAATGGTAAATTTTTTTACACTGCTTTCCAGGAGAAGAGGGTCTGGACTCTTTTTCTGCTATTGTTCTTGAAGCAATAAGCAAAAAAATCTCAACAAAACCTGAAACCCCAGGAGACTCAGTTGGGATTTGAATATGGAGGAAATCTTCCAATTTTTTTTTCTGTGCAGCTCTTCCTGATTCTTAATCTTTCTTCTGTAAGAATTGTAAGTATGGGATTTTTCTGACTCCATACAGCTGTGAGTATCTGAAGACAGATTTCTGTGGTTTAGTTTTTGTCTCTCTTCCATGTACTCAGAATAGTAATGTGCTAAGATATTAAGCCAGAATTCCAAAGAAAACTTCAAAGCATTCTCAGCTGCTGTACACGCACCATCATCTCTCAGTGTTTTCATAAATGTGAAGTATATTGCCAGTATATTCTACCTTTTACCATATTCTGTTCCAAGACAGACCAGGGCAATTACAGATTGAAAAGGTTGATGACACTATAGGTTAATTTCAAGTATTAAGTGAGTAAGGAAGTTTTCTAATCTATACACATCTATTTTCAGTAAGGACCAAAATGAACAGTAACCCAGTTACTGTGCAGATCCTTTTAGAATCATTCTTCTAAAGTGTCCAAAAGTAAAAAAGATCAAAACCAGAATGAAATTACTCTTCACCTACTCCTTCTACAGTATCTTTCTTGAGGTCCATGCTTTCTGACCCTCCAGAAAGGCTGATGAGATTCTGTAGTTCAGTGGTTTTGTCTATATATAGTAAAACAGATAAAACAATTGTTTACATCTTACATGACTAGCTCTTTGAGAGGCTATAGAGTAGCCTTACATGTAACCAAAAATGCCTGTAGCAGAAGCAGTATTAAGCTTTGAAGTTCTAACATTTAAATGTTCTCCCTCTACAGCTAAGCAAGATCTTTAACTGTACTAGATTTTAGACATAATCATTACATTCTAAGCATGCTGGGCTGCTTAGGTTCAAGAAGTGTCGCTGGAATAATTTCTCTAAATATATAAGGAGAGAATGTTTGTTCTCTTGGGCAAGGCTACTCAGCTTTTTCTTCATGCTGTGGACAGTATTTCCTTGCCTACCTAGACATTCATCACCATTTCAGTTGCCTTTTCAGTGGAATGCCTCCTCTACCCACAACAACTGCATACTCCAGCAGTCACTTGTACAAGAATATTTTAGGAAAGTGGTTTTTATAATTTTAGCTTCTGTTAATGCACTTAAGCAGCTGGAAAACAGAGCCAACACTACGAGACCAGCCAGTTCTCTCTATAAGTCATCAGCAAGAGCTCTGGGAAGTATCAATGGTTCACAGATTTTGGAAACTCCTGTAGAAGAGGTCTAAGTTCACAGCCACAGTGTATTATAACTTTTGGACTTGTCAGTGGGTAGAAATGCCTTCATCAGCATACCTAAGGACATGATTTTAGCCTAAATTTTCATCATACTCCTGGATTACAATTTCTTGAATTAGAATTCTGAAGCATTTTATGATTTAAACAAGGAGAAAATCTTAATTTAAATAAATAATCCTTTATTATTCCTTTAAAAAAATTGTTAGAGTGGCTGTAAATAATGATTATAAAGCAAAAGTTTTTATACTTTCTCTCATTAATATACCCATTAATATACCATTGTATTTAACACAGTGACATTGCTAGGTGTAGCACTTCAGAAACATGAAGGAAATAAGGTAATTATCCCATCACAGCCTGCCTGGAGACACATCAACTTGCTTTGTTGCCTCTCTTTCCATTAGCCATGCTGCCTGCAGTCTGCAGGCCTACCTGCTCTGACCACAGGAACAGTTTTGCAGAACATGTGCTGTTCTTCATCCTGGGCCTGCAGACAGGCAATTTCCTCCAGACTGAGGGGGCTTCAGAAGAGAAGTTGTATATACAGGGGAGAGAGTGATTTCCCCTCTTCTCCGTTGCAGCCCCAGGGGTGGATTAAAGCTGCTTAATCTTCCCCCTCTGCAGGAATCCCCTTTCACCTTTGCTTCACAAGCTGATTCCCACCTACAGAATAATCCTCTTGTAATTCATGGAGGGAAATGCATACCTATGGCTGCTTTAAAGCAGCTCCATTCTGGTAGCAAGGTTACCACAGCTATGGATAATCATGCAGATTAATTCCAGGAGTATTCATTCAATTACTCAGATTACTTTTGTATATAAAAGTCATATAAGTACTGGCCAATAGGAGTGTGTTTTGTTTTTCCTTAACTACAGAGTACTTATTTTTCATGTCAGAATTGGTGGTTGATCAATCTTCTACCATGTACTTGAAACAGCACTGCTGCTTCTTCCTATGAATTACCACAAGAGTTCCACCTACAAATTAATTTTCAAACATTTATATAAAATTTCTGTGTTATTTCCAGCAATTAAGACAATTTAAATAAAGTTAGGGTTGCAGTATCATCATAAGCAATACTTGTAAAGCTTTGGTAAATAAATTTAAATCTATTTGTGTCTGCTTGTCACAAATCCAAAATCCTGATTACTAACCAAACAGTTATTTATGTCCTTATTGTTATTTCATGCTGGCCATCTTTGATTTTTCATGTGAACCTTCTCTGTGTATCTCAAATCTACTATTATTCATAACAACATACCTCTCTATAGCCTGTTGTCTTATAAATCATACATACACCTATCAATAAATGTTCTAAGGTATGTCTACCACCTGGACAGTGCTGAGTGTTTCAAATAGTCCAAAGTTATACATCAATGTATTGAAAATCTGCTGCAGTGTCACTGTGGAGCAAATGCACCTGCGTACAGCTGGGAAACAAGACAATATGTATACAGTACATCTTATAGTCTTGACAGGCCCTATTTAAATAAACCATAAGAATGTCATAACAGCTATTTTCCGTTGTCGAGGGTGCAGATGTGAATCTCTGCAGAGAAAGATCTGCTGTTTTAGGGTCATGATTGTGGAAACTGCCTGAGGCCAGGGACAAGCAGGTTCTGCAAAACTTTTTCTGAGAGGAGAGGTTGGAGAGGTCTCAAAAATTCACAAAACTCTGGGTAAAGTTAAGCCAATCCATAAACTGTTTACTTGAAGGACAGGAAGAGGCAAACAGTCTGACGTTTGCCCTTTGGTCTTACTGCTGCTTTGTACTTCCTGGTCAATATGATTGTGGCAGGAAGACAGTGTAAGTCCCTGCAGCCTAAGAAAACCATGCCTGAGGCAGTGTTTCTCCAGACTGAAAGGCAATACAGTTTGGGGTCACTTAAAATTATGCCTACCTTGGGGGGCAAGGGTCCAGGCTACAGGACTTCAGCAGCTGTGGAGGGCGACGGCTGCTAACGCACAGTGTTTCGTCTGCAATTTCCCTAGTTTGCTTGTTCAGACAGGTCACCACAGCCTCCTGGACACCTGCACACAACAAATAATGGTCACAACCAGCTCTCCGTACCTGCAGGGGCAGCCCAGGTCAGGGGTGGGCCCAACAGGACCAGCAAGGCTGCAGAACGTGGTGACACCCAGCCTCAGGCTGGCAGCTCTGGGGCTGCAGCCCCAGCTGAACACTTGTCATTGCTTTCAGTCTCACTGAAAGGTTTCTCAGTGCTGCTGTGAAAAGTCCATGGATTCATTCACTGCTCACCTCCCTGGACAGAAAATTGTCCAGTGCTCTCATTTTTTTTCCTTGAGGCATTTTATTTTTCAGGCCAAGCAGGCTGAGGTGTGAAGATGGCCATAGCTTTCATGTGGTATACTTTAACCAACAGTATGACTTGCCAAAACAAAGTAAAATGTGGTCAGACAATTCAGCTCTTCTCAGTTTACTCTTCTGCATCCATGGGCCTGTACCCTAACTAAAGATGCAAACCTGCAGAGTATATCTGAGAGCTGGGAAAGAATGGGTTAGAGAGACCTGGGAAAGAACAGCAGCTATTGGGACTAAGAGAAACTGGAAGATTTGGTTATTATAGTTTAAATCAGAAATTCCTTGTTACAGCCAAAATCCCTATGTAGCCTATGGCATACCAGTTACTCTCACTTTTTCTGTGATTAGGGGCATCACAGGCTTTTTGGTTCACAAGGTTAGAAAGCTAGAACAACAGGGACTGCAACATTACATGCCACAGGGAAGAGGAATGGATGAGAAAGGATATATTTTCCCATGGATAAAAGGGGTCTGAGAGCATCTGAGGATAATAATTGGCCTGAACTTCCTGAGAATCTAATCCACGGTGGTTCAAATACAATAAAAGTATGATTTTTACATTAATTCCTGAGACCTGAGTTAAGAAAATATTAGCTGAACTCCCAGCAATTACATTACAGTTTCAAAATCACCATTTTTCCAAAACATCTAATGGATTTTTTAAGATGCTAATGTGAAGGGAAAGAAACCCAAACCAAAACAAAGTGCTGTGAGACCTTAAAGACCTCCAAAAACTATCACAGAGTTAACAATATATTCTGGTGTTTCTAATGCCAGATCACGTGTCATTAGGCAAAAAATTATTTCATATCCTTCAAGAGGATCAAAGTGCTATATAGCTGATCACAGTCCTTGTATTCCTGACATTATTCACAAATTCATTCTCCTTAATCTCTGTATAGGCTGGGGCCCCCATTTTTTTGGCTGTTATGTGTGTGAGCCTATTAGGCCACGGCCATGACACAAGACTATGCAGTGTGTCTCCCGTATCCAAAAAAAAGAAAGAAAATTTGACAGTTTTGGACATGTATACCAACATCAAAATTACTAAAGTCCCTGGAGTCAGCCAGTACTGTTGGCAATTTCCTTCTTTACAAGGTGGCCCCACATTTTCAATTTTACTCAATCATCTCAGTCATCTCTCAAAAGACTTTAAACAATATTGTAAAAAGGCAGCCTAGTAAAAAGACAGAACTAATGACATTTATTTATATCTAGGAAAAGAAACTTACAAAACTTATATATATGTGAACAAGATGTTCACTGCCCTGTTCATTATTTTTCTAGCTCACTCATTTTTCTGTTGAGCATGTAATCATATTGTATGCAGCAAGCACAGGCATGTGGATCCTCCAGAATGGAATGCTCCTGGCTGAAGAACAGAGGTGATTCTTTACCTAATGGGAAATGGCACTGTGTTCAAACTACTGGTCGCTATTTTGCATGGAACATCTGTTTAGGCCTGATATCAAGACCAATTTGATGAAGCCAGGAAAGAAGCACTGCTGATCCAGAGGTATGGAAACCATGAAAGTATTTTTCCAGACTCTGTGGAAAGAAACCACAGATTCCTGCCACATGCTGGTTGACATGTTTCTGTTTGCTAGGCATACAGCTCACTCACCTTCTGTATGTCTTCTCAGATAAAATTTTGTAAACTGAATGTCCTTCCACAGCTTCAGTTTTTCCTTTCTGAAGGGTGTCATCAATGAGCTCCTGAACAATTATTATCAATTCAACATTTTCCACTGTCTGTTTCAATGTTGAATACTGAAAAGTGATGACTATGAGGTCTTGAATTCAACCTTTTCTCCATTTGTCATGCTGATGGTTTTTGTGTTATATAATTCATATAGCTAAGCTCTGATACTACTGTTCTTCAGTTTTCAGTATCCAACCAGCCCTAAACTTCACAGTAAATTCATTCCTCATGCTTATTTCTCTCACCTAAGTCATCTTGATTGCAATTCCAATAATTCTTATCCATACTACAGGCATTCTAGTCTGTCTATTAAAATTTCTTTTTATCTTTGACAGATCCAGTAATCTTGCCTGAGAGTGTAGATATCAAAGAAAAAGGTTCCTGTCTGAATATGGTTGCTAGAATGTTTATTGACAATTTTTGGCTTTAATAGCTTTTGCCAGAAAAAAAACCAAACAAACCAAACAAAAAAACTCCTGAAACAAACAAAAAAATCCCTAAAAACCAAACAAATGAATGAATAAAAACAAACAAAACAAAACAAAAAAAAGAAAAAAGGAGGGAGAGAAACAAAATCTGGCTTGCTCCATAGAAAAAAATGTGATCAGAATTACTTTCTTCAGCTTCCTCTTGAATTTCACTATAGTGTGTCTCAGCATAATGACAACAACTGTCCCTCTATTTTTGATAGGTCAATGTGCAAATGCTTATAATCTTTAAATTAGGATGGCTAATTGAACATTTAAAAGAAAAAATAAAAACTTTTGATCATAAATCAGAAGTTCCACAGCACAGAGATAATTTAAAAAGGTATATGAATATCAGGGAGTTCATTTGCCAAGTGATTGAATTCAAAATATTATTTATTGCACAATATGATTAGAACAAAAGCTGTCTGCTTTAAAATTGCTTTCTTTTGGAAAAAAAAAAAGAAATCAGTTCTTGATAGGAAATCACAGTATAAAAATGAAGAATGGTGGGATCTAGGCAGTCTAAGTTCACTTTCAAAACACCATCAAATGAGAATTTCTATGTTTATATCTACCAGGATGGAATAATTGTTACATGATATTTGATGACAGCTCTGGGAAATGAAGCCACCAGCAGCAGACTATATGACTAAATCATTCCTTCTGGTTGCTGCTTCTGGGAGGTGAAAGGTTACTTCTGCATCTATCCAGTTTCTTCTCCCAGGACTCTAAAACCAATAAAATTAGTTTGACCAGTCTTGCACCTATAGCTACAAAAATATCTGACTTAGCATTTGCTAATCTGGAAAGTTTGGAGTTGATGTCAGACAAAAAGAAATCTTAGTTAAAACTTTTTGCTGACAATTGAAAGAGATTATAAAGAAAAATGTCTCCTACAAATCAGTCTCTGTGAGTTACATTTGAAAAACACTAGCATGAACCTATATTCTAAGAAATTACTTCATTTCAAGAGGACATTTCTAGGAACTGTTGAGGTTTTGGTAGTCACAGTAAAAGTGTGATTAATTGTTACTGTACACCAGTAACACCAACACATGACATATACTCTTGCAACATCAGTGTTTCTCAGCACTTAGCATATGCTTGTGTCTTTTTTTTTTTTTTTTTTTTTTTTTTTTTTTTGTGTGAGTAGGAAAGAAAGCAAAAGCTTCAGTGGTCTGACAGCTATGAACTGCTCCAAATATTGACTACCATTAGCAAGCCAAAAACAAGCACAGAAAACCTTTGCATTATTTTCTACTAATTGTGGTTTTCAAGACTATAACTGATTATCTGTGAATCTGTACATATTATTAACTCATAAAATGCTGAGTTGTTTTCAGTTCTACAGTATATATTTTGCATTTTTCTATAGTAATCCTTTCTTAAATCACCTGAAAGTTGTAAAGTAAAAAGACAAGAGCGGGAAAAATCTAGGTTTAATTTAAAAAATACTGGACTGGACATATTTCTCAGAACTAGTTAGATAAAATGATGGGGAAAAAAAGGATATTGGAAATGTGTGTTAATGGTCTATAGCATGTGCAACCTGAGAATTTGATTTACTTTGACAAACTACAATTTCCAAGCCTGCTTGTTTCAGACATAATTAGTGCCATTTTGACAGAAGTTTTTTTGCACTGGGGTTGGAGCTGGTGTCCCTCGTTGATAGGAGATAGGGAATGGTTGAGCCTTTAAAATATCACTTATTTATTTCATCTGCTGTGGGAGGACAATTTACTTCCACATGCTTTTGCTTGCACAGATCAAACCAAGAGATAAGAACTAAAAATGATATGTGATTGTTAGCATCTACCACCAGACCCTTTAACATTTAGCTTTTTTTGGTGATCGCCTTTGGGTGATCAGCTGATAAAGGAAACAGAAACATGTGATAAACTGAGCACTCTTTAGTGACAGTCTGAGAACAGATCTGGAAGTCCTGGGTTAAAATATGTTGTGCACATAGGATTTTTTGCATTTCTTATTTTGCATTTTCAAATATGTTTGGACTTAACAATCTTAAGTTTTATTTCCTTCCTAAATGATTCTAACTAGCCATAGCAAAGCAGCATGTCTATAGGTATTAAGTGCCAAGCACACACTTGAAGAAGGAAAGCAAATCCAGCAGAGAAACATTTTGCACCTACCTCCTCCGCAGGACTCTGAGCACTCTGTAAAGCCTTCATATTCCCAGTCATAGAGCTCATCAAACTCCTGCAAGCTGCCATACAGAAGCTGAGTCTCCTCTGGGGTGTATTCCGTTGCCTCCCCACTGCAGGGACCGCTGTAACAGGCTCTCTGAGACACAGGTTTGGGACCTTCACATTCATCGATGGGCAGATCAGCCACTGACTGAGAGAAAGAGAGGAGCACTTGGCATTTCACAAGCCGCATCTGGCTGCCTACTCCACAGGTGACACTGCAGGTGGACCAAGCCTCAGGAATAAACCTGTGAGAGGAAAAGAGCAAGGCAAGTTATGCCCACAAATTGCCAGGGAAGCAAAAGCAGGATTGCCCTATCCAGGTCAAAGTTTACTTAATGAAAAACAAGTACTTCATCTCATCATGCATTCATTAAAAACTACACACAGGAGGTTCTATTGACAGCTCAGTGGCAGGTCTCCTCTATATCCAAGAAGCAAGGCAAACCCTTGTAATACCCACCCTGATCCTAAAACATCTCAGTGCAAGGCATCCAGCAATCTCCCAATGTGCCCAATGTACATGATGATCCCACTAGCTGCCTTTTTCAAGTATTCAACCTAGATAATATTTGTCTTAATTTTTTTTTTTTTTTCACTAGTAAGTACAGAAAAGGCTGCTGTTTTCAGGTAAGTGCAAGACTACAAGGAAAACAATTTCAATTGTTTTTCTTGTGTCACTGGAACTGTTTTTAAGTCTTAATTTGAAGCTAGCATAATTTCTTAAGCTTATTTTTTGTTGTTTTATTTTTCTTTTAAAATTTATATACATAAAATTAAAAAAAATAATTAAATAAATTAAATTTTTTTCCACAGGGCATTTATCTTTTTCTCATTAAAAAAAACCAAACCAAAACAAAAACAAAAACAAAAAACTCCCAAACAAACAAACAAACAAACAAAAAACCCAAATCCAACAGCATTTAATTTCTGTTGTGGATTTGTTTATTTGTTGCACTTGTCTTACTGATCAGTAACTCTTATATGCTCCTAAAAAAAAAAATTAAATAAATTAATTTTTTTTCCACAGGGCATTTACCTTTTTCTCATTAAAAACAAAACAAAACAAACCAAAACAAAAACAAAAACAAAAAACCCCCAAACAAACAAACAAACAAACAAAAACCCCAAATCCAACAGCATTTAATTTCTGTTGTGGATTTGTTTATCTGTTGCACTTGTCTTACTGATCAGTAACTCTTATATGCTCCAGATTTTTCCTTCTGGAAGTCCATAAATATTTTATAAAAACACTTTGCAGCTTTTATTGTAATTGTCATTACAATAAAACACACTGAATTCCATCTCTCATTATTTTCCTCAAAAATTGAATAATTTCTCTGTCACTGCTTTTTCCATGTCAGTACTATAACTGGACTAGCATTTTACTCATAGCTATCAAGCCTAAGATTCACATCCAACTCTATACCACATGATTACTACTTTGTTGCAGAAATGTAACACACCTTGTTTTGCTAAGATCATGTTGAACTAAACTGACTCCTAAATCTATGCAGAAACAATAGTTTCAAGGCACTCCATAAGCTGCAATACCTGCGCTTTGATACCTGATGTCACTGGCACTGGAGCGCTGAAGTTATGAATACAGGGTAATTTCGATAGCTTTATCTGACTGTTCTTGCCTTCTCCATTGGCCATTCTCCAAAACCTTCTGCCACAGGCAAGTTCTGAGGCAAGAGTTGTAGATATACTTTAAGGACTAGAACAAGTGAATGAATAGTTGGATCTGGCACTGGTCCTCACTGAACCTCACAAGAACAATCCCTGTTGATAACACTCCCTCATTAACAGTAAGTGTTTTTAATCTGTCTGCTTCTGCAAACTCAGTGTTTGGGATGTATATTTCATGGAAACCTGGCTGTCACTGACAATATTCATCTTTCTTTGGTCTTTATTTTGATAGGCCACACCAGAGTTGGACAGCTTTGCCCAGGGCTGAAGGCAATATACCTGTCTGTTTCTACTATGGTCTGGGGCTCTAGCAAACTCATTTATTACCTTGGGAATCCCATGAACAGTTTTATTGGAATAAAAGGGATATTTAGTTTTGGGATCAGCATATTTGAAGATATTTTTACACTTTTCTTCCTTTCATCCCCTGCCTTTCTCTCTTTGACAAAAGGACTTCCCCTTCATGCTGAAGTTTAAAAAAATCCAAAACCTAAAAGGGAAGATAGTGTTTTCCCAGGATGCATATATCAGGAAGCCTGACTGGAACATCACAGTCTTTTGGAGCAGGGAGTGTGCATCTCTTTACCCACTTTTTGTGGGTCTTTATAAAATCTTGTTATAAACCTGACATCCACTACTAGCACTATACATGGAAAGTAACAGAAAGGAAAGAAATTAATTGCAAATATTATTGTAAAATTTGGAAATATTTATTATGCTGCTACAAAGACTACAAGAATTCTTTTAGGAGCAAAGCTTATGGGAAACGAATGGTGCAAAATTGTTCATTTTCCTCCTCATTAGACATTTTAACTTAAAATATCAGTTGTGTTTCCAAGATGATATCTTTCATTTTGAGAGGGTTTTACACTTCAGGTGGACCACTCTATGACTGTAGCCACTGAAATTCTATTTTCATGCAGAAAATCTCCTGTCAGAGATTAAGCAGTTTGCATCAGCCACTCTGACTTAGGTATTTTGACTAGTTGAAATGTACAGCTTCTTAATCTGGTAAACTGAAAGGTAGAAATGCTAACCAGATTATGGGGAAAAAAAAAAAAAGGTCCTGGTCTTTATCAGAAGCTGTCTTTCTTATATTTTTAAACACTGTAAATTGTTCTGTAACTTTGCTTTGTTGAAGAACTTCTGTACTCCTAACCAAAAGGGAGGATATTCTTCAAGGTATTAAAATTATTAATTTAGAAAAACAGAGATGCTTCAAATACTTTGAATATTTACACATGATGTGCCTCATACATACAAACATGGGAAAAAAGGGAAAGGACACAAAAGAAAATGAAGAACATTACTGAAGAAGATGATACTTTTTGAAATGAAGCTTGATCTATAAATGCCAGGTATTATATTATTTCACTTAAGTAAGCAACTCATAATGAAAATAATATAATACCTGCAGGAAATTGGGGGTTAATTTAGCTATCTAGGCCAAATTTCTACATTTTAAGTGCTAACATTGGAAATGCAATTTAATTCTAATATGACTGTTAGCTGGTAAAGAGAAAATTAGCCGAATCAAAAGAGTTAAAAGCAGAAAAAAGAGGGGAAACTCATTAAACCCTGCAAAGAAATCTCCATATAGTAATAGTCATTAAAAATTGAACATTTATGTAATGTGTATGTATAACATAAATATACGTTTCTGAATTTTCCACCATGCTAACACCAGAAAATTACAAAGACTTTCAAATATCTTTGTGTTGTCATTAATGACAAATGTTGCCAAATAGTGAGCACAAACCACAAAAAGTATATGAATAAAAAGGAGACAGTTCATGGATTTGAAGTTATTTGTCCAGCATATAGCTCTTATTCCACTGCTCAGCATTAGGCATTTTTGTATGCTAACCTCTGAGCTACCTGGAAAATGGAAATCGTGGAATAGATATACTGAGAAGTAGTTTTTTAGAAAATGGGAAATGATTGAGGTGTTTCAGTTGCCATTCCATATAGTTTAATTAAATCCCACTGTAATAATCATCCCTCTAACAACAACCCTAATAAACAAGCCAAAGGCAATAACTCACTCCTTCAGCTAAGGACTGATGTATATTTCCCTCCATATAGAAACACATACGTAACCGGAGAAGTCAGAAGAGAATTCAGAAGACAATGTCAGTGCTCAGTGGTGGGAGACCTTTCACAGCAGCTCACAGTGGGTTCAGGGTGAGATCCACAGAGAGCTCTGCTGAGTGTTTCACAGATTTTCAAAACTCTTGGTGTATGTAGCAACAGCCTCTTCTGTCTAGGACATGGTTTCCCACAATATGTTATGAAGAAAAACAAGTGCATACTTACTGGTGTGCTTTGAGTATGGAGAAAAGTAGCTAATTTTCTTCACTGCTACCTAATTACATATTGTTCTTAATTTTTATTGCTTAATTATTTTTTGTTTGTTGCTTTTCCCCTCTTGATTTGTTTGTTTGTTTGCTTGTTTTAAAACACCATTGGTTAAATCCATGGGTTAGATAAAGTCTGAGGTTTTGAGACATGCACATACCAGTGGGACTGAATGTTCTAAGGTAGAGACATCCATCTATTAAGGTGTCTAAACTCAGATACTACTGGTGAAATGGAATGTTCAATGGTTTCTTTGAAGGCTTGGAAATTTTCTGTGATAGATCCAGAACTGAGCACAGACTTCCACATGCCTTGTCTTGACCTGAAACGCAAACCCTTCCTTTTCCTTCAGGAAACACCACCTTTTCACAGGTTTTAAGGCCTTGGTAACACCACAGCACTGGATAGCTGCTGGTGTCATTATTCAGAGACATGAAACAGTGGTCATTACCACTTAGCAATAAAATATCAGGCTCCATCTCTAAGAGTATTAAAACTGGAGGCAGCTGCACAGGTCCAATTCCAATCAGAGTGATTCCATTATGTCCCTCTATAGTTTCTTTTAAGTTGCTTGAATATGATTTTTCATTCAGGTTTGTCTCTCTATTGGTTGGTGCTTTTCATTCACTGCCTTTCTCCACAGGGAATGATAACAGTTTCTGTCCTGTATTGTTGTTACACATAAATCTTAAGTAATTGTGACTGTGTGTAGTGGGTCCTTGAATGAGTAGATAGCAATCCTTAGCTAATGTGTGCTTTGATGACCTTCCTTTTGACCAGCCATATATATCATATCTTAATATGAATATTCTTCTTTTTCACTATCTACTAATCTGGACAAACAATGGCTCAGTAGATAAACCTATATTATGTCCTCACTATCTTTTATTTTTTTTGGCAATCCAACAATCAGGACATGCTCAATTTTTACAGTACAGCTGTAATAGGAAGGTTTAAACTTACTTCACTTACTAACCTGTGAACCCATATATAAAGAACATGATGAAAACTGTTCAACAAGGAAAATCAAATTAAAACAGCTTATGTGTCTAGAAGCATAAACACCTACTGAAAAGTAAGAAAGTATTGGGTATGTCTGCGACACTGGTCTCTCGGTCCTTATTCAATTCCCTGAGGGCTTTGTCACCCCTGCTAATGCACGTCAGGAATTTCCCTTTGTTTTTTACTGAACTGGCCCCGTCATTAGGATGGTGCCATCTGGCATCCAGATATTATTGTTTGTCCCCCATCAATCTGCCAGCCCGCCCCCCACCTTTTTTTTGTATGGCTAACACCAGGGTTGTTTATGGCAGTATGTTAAAAGCTGGACATGGTGTTAACGTATAAAAGCATTTTTCAAAAGTTAGAAATCTTTTAAGAAAACCTCCACTACTCATAAAGCTAATCTCATCATACATAGAAAACCCCATGCTTTTTTAATCATGAGTGCTATTCTTTCTGGCTGTCACACTGCGCTGGTGTAGTGAAATCTAGAGGAAGAGGTCACACAGAAAGATACAGTGGCTCCTTCCTCAGATAACATTTCTAATGCCTGGTGAATGGTCACTTCAGGGAGGGACAGCAATAGGAGAACAACATGTACCTCAACACAGGACAGCAAGGCCTTCTCACCTTAAACATTTGTGCTGAGAAAGATTACAATATTTTGTTACCAACACGGAATATTTCATAATAGTTCTGCCAGCAATTAATTTTTAATTTATCCTATTTAGGGGTGCAGTAGGTCAGACAACACAAACATCACTATTCCCTCTAGACTTGAAGTGGCTGAATTGGTTGTGATTAATTCTTTGAGGAGCAGAACCAATAAAGAAATATTTAGCATGGATTTATGTTTGAACGCTCAGTGCCCAAGTGGATTCTTTGTTATCTTTTAAGGACTGAACTCCTTTAAAACCTTTCCTTCAACTGGGGAATTCTACTGAGTCTTTTATTTCAGTGACACGTACAGAAAGCTTCTACTGAATTTCCTGAAGAATATCAACCAAGTTTAACAGAGGAGTAAAATTCTCTATGATAATTTTATACCTCTGTCAGAATCACTTAATAGTAATACATTCAGACATTACTGAGAGGAGAGGAAAGCAACTGACAGACAGACATATACAGACAAAATTCAACTGTAAGACTTGTTTGCATTAGAAATTCCTGAAGATATAAATTATGGAAGGCATTATACACAGATGGAATAAAATTGCAGCATCTGGTGCTCTGGCAGCACATATCAGAGAATGATCGCGAATTACAGGTAGAAGGATAATATGTGAGAAATATTGTAGCTTTATAAATCATAGCATGCAATTTCATAATAAAAATAATATTAAATAGAAAGTTACAAAAATCAGAAGATGGCAATACAGAGATTCAGAAATGTGAGAAATCAATTCATAGAAGAAATATGCTGAAAATTTTGGGGTTTAGCTTTTAAATTTCTAATCAAATATAAACTTTGAGAAAGAGAATAGAATTGCTTATAGCTGAAGTTTATTTCTTTGCCTGAAGAAGGATAAGGGAGAAACGATCACAGTGGTCAGGGAAGAGTGGTCTACTGGCTACAAAGAATGGCCCTGTCTGTAGAGGAGAATGGGGGCAGTCAGAGACTTGGTGGCATAAGAAAGCTTGGCAAGAGCCTCAGATGAAGTAGGGGAAACAAATGAATCCTTGCTGATGTCTGCCCAAGTGGAGTAATGAAATTGGTAATTACTGCACCAACACAGAGTGAATAGGAAAGTCATATGATCAGCCATAATAAGATCATTCATGTGCCAAAATACGTGGATGGTAGCCTGGCCTCTGTAAGGGTGGTGGGCCATGGAGTATTACATTGTGTCTCTGCCCAGCTGCAGAAGCTCTGCCCAAAAGGTGCGCTGTCAGGGAATACACCATGCTCTTGGTGTGTTTGAAATCCCTACACCTGAATGAAATGATGCTATAAAGCTGGCCCCAAAGTTGATTGTTCCTTGTATTTTGGTGTGTTCCAAACGTTTTGTCTCATTTTTTATATTGTTACATACAGTTTTTCAATCTAATAATCAGGACCTAAAACAAATAACTGTTTAAATTCAGACATTAATGAAAAACAATGAGGCACTATTTTAGGTGGAAGTTCACCGCTCAAGATTCCTGAAAGAGATTAGATATTTTAGAACAATATGGATGTTACAGATGGATGTTACAGTTTACAAATGGGGATTGCATGGATGGTTCTTGCAGCACAAATTTTCTAAGTTTTTATTTGGTTTTCCTATCTCATGCCTTATCACCAAAAATCATTCTAAAGGAAACTCAAGGCATTTCTGAGCTTTGGGAAAGTTTGTGTGCAGACCCTGACTTCATGCCCTTTATTCTTCCTGTTAGTCAATAGATATAAAAATCTGTTCTTGAACTTACATTAACTATGCTTTGCATCAGCCTAAAATAAAGGTTAGAAATACTCCTAGAGATCTGCCTTGTGGGGAGAAAACAAGTGTAGTAAATGTCACCTCACGGCAGACTGAATCTAGTCTGGACTGTGGTCCACTGTCCAGAATGGGAATAGTATAGTATCCCACTGGCATGACTGGAGCCTTGCAGCAGGTGCAGCAGTCTCTGCAGAAAATGGCCTCCAATGCAGCAGAGCAGTGACATGAAGTGTGGAGGCGTCATAACTGCACTTGAAATCAATTTGAAATTCTTAAATTCCTCTCCCTTAGATCTCTCAAGGACTGTTTTAGTATCACAAGTAATATACCTGTAAGGTTTTCTAAAATATTTAATTAAAATATGCATCATGACAAACGACAGGTTATGCCTATACTCAACAAATACCTTGTTAATACTTAAAGCTACATATACCCATATGTGTATATGCACATACACACACACACACACACATATATATATACCTATACTCCTTTTCTGCAGTGCAATCAACCTTGTTCACAAAACTGATAAAAAAACTTCTTAGTGTAACAAATTACTCATATAACAGCATATCAGTATTGTTCCTCTTTTATGTATGTTCCCAAAATTTATTTACAGGTTGATAAATGCACATTTAGCTACGTAATTTAGTATAGCCATAAGAAAAAACATAAGAAAATGCATTTTACTAATGAAAAATTAGTATGTCCATGAATATAAAATTTTCTAGGCTTTTGACTATGAATTAATCAACCTATGGAGTCTGTGGAACTCTGGAAGCAGTTAAAGATCTCATACTATATTTGATAGCTGCTACAAATATCTATAAAGACATATGAATGTATATTTGTCTGTGTATGTGTGTATAAATGCTTCTGTATACATATATTTGTCTATATGTATGTATATATACATATGGCAACTGGATTTTTTTTTGTTTGTTTTGGAGGACTTATTACATATGTCTCCAGCTCACTGGTTCTCCAGTTTCTAATCACTTCAATTAAGATTAATCATGCCAGAGCTGCAATTACATTGTATAAAAATGTTTTGTAATCTAATACATAGTTACAGTTGTAATAAAAAATGCCATGTGCTCAGACACAAGGAATTGAATATTGATTGATGCTGTGTACAGAAGTTGCAATTATAGCATGGATTTATCACAGTTTCAGACAAAAGCATCTAAGTTTTTGTACTGATAATAAAAATATAAGAATACTTATAATTTCTCAGTCCCATTGCTCTAGGCTTATGTGGTATGCATCCCAGGTAAAATTTATACTTTTTTTTGCTGTTATTATGCTTTTCCTCGGGGAAAAAGGCAAGAGGGAATCATCACTGGCTGCTTTGTTTTGCTTCTTGCTTCACAGGGGTACTGATAAAATAAATAAAGCTGCCAGGCTGTGAAGATACAGCAGTAATAGAGAACATATTAATACATAGGTGGATGCACTTTTATTATAATACTCTTTTAATGATCTTACATAAAATGTGTATATTTGATTAAATTAAATCTGCATTTACCTCTTTGCAGGTAAGTATGATACAGCCTTAACACCATAGATTTCCACAGGGTTGGGCTCATCCTTTACACTCTATCAGAAGCCAAATTCATTCAAGAGATTGTGCTAGTTCTGCACAAGTCCCAGATTCTCACATGGAAACACAGAATCACAGAGGGCTTTGGATTGGAAACGACCTTAGAGATTCTCTAGTTCCCACTCCCCGTGCTTTGGGCAGGGACACCCTCCACCTAGACCAGGTTGCTCAGAGCCCCATCCAACCTGGCCTTGAACACCTCCAGGGAGAGAGCAACTACATCTTCTCAGGATCACATAACAAGAACCTGTTGTAAGCAAATTTTTGAGACTTACGAGGGTTCTTCAGAAACGGCTGTTCCTTCCTCCAGCTCTTGAGCCTGCTTATACCACGGCAACTTTGCTTCCACAGGAAGTTTCTCTATGAAGCAAACACAAGCATGTGAAAACAGAAAGCATGCAGTAACACTGCCACCTTCCCTGTGCTCACCAAGCATGAATGTGATGTATGGGTGCCCTCACACACATGGGGCCAAGCAGAAGGAGGGGAAAGAGGAGAAAGAGAAATGAGAACACAGGGGAGAGAAACACCCTGGACTATATAGTTTGCAAGGTTGTATGGCCAGATAGGTTGTATGGCCAGATATTTCACCTTTGCAGGTAGAAGGGCTATAGTGCCTTAAAGCCAGACAGGCAAATTGAAATTGCCACCTTTCAGACTATACAACTGGACTGTAAAAGTACTTTGAAAAGTACTTTTTTGAAGGGAAATTTGCAAGTGTAACAGGCCTGCATCACACAAGGCAAAATGTGTAACATGCCTGTATCTACTTTTAAATTTCAGAATGTCAGAAGACATGCTGGGCTTGGCTTTGGTGGATTACAAAAATAAAGAAAATCCTGCTTTAATGAGTGATACAACAAACAGGAAAACTATAGTTAAATGGCCGAGCTATGCTTTTCAACTCTGTTTATCATCAGTTTATCATCATCCTATGTGGATTTAAAAAAATGAACCTGATTATTTTTCTCTCATTCCTGATGGAAAACACTGGAGCTGCTTTTCTCCCTCTCCAGGATGTGCGCACAGGATAATGAGCTTCTCTGCTCTGGGGAATGCAGGGCCCATGCTGCTTTGCAAGCCAAACTCCACTTTAATGCAGGTTCAGAGCAGAGTAGTTGAGCTGAAGGCAGCAGAGCTGGTTTAGCTCTACAGGGGTATAAAGCAAGAGAAAATCTGGCTCAGCTAAAGGTTGAGAAGGAGCTCTGCACTTCAACAGAACATTCTGGGCTAGGACCAGGGGAAAACTATATAAAGTGCAGTGAGACTCCGACTACTGAGGAGAACCAGAGCCAAAACTATTTGCTATTCACAAATCACCTAAGCCTTTTGGGTTTGTGTAAGGATGGACATGTACTAGCCAATGGGAGCAGGTTAATGTAATTCAGAATAGTCAGGATTTTTCTGTGGCTCTATTGTGCAGAACATTTCACACATGCACATGAAATTTTCCATCTTTCAGTTGTATTACAGAGGAAAAATGACCTACAATTTGACTGCACAGCTACTGCAACTTGAGTCATGAAAATATCCTTGGAGAAAGTTATTAACTGAGGAAAAGAGGGACAATAATTGAATTACTATTCCTCTATCTTTAAAACAGCTTTCCAAGCTCTTCATCTAACATATTAGTGCCATTTAAGGATGAATGCCATCACAGCTCTTAATAAATAATCTGTATTTTAACAATCATCCAGAACATGTAGGAAATATTTCTATGTTCTACAGTTTATGAGTTTTTGAAAGTTGTATCTTATGTGAGTTTTTTGCTTAGATGCAAGTGCTTGTAAAAAGCAAAATTCTTGTCTACATAGCCTGATTTGTGACTTTTTAAATAATCTTCCTTTTTTAACAGGTGTAGTTAATTAGCATCTACACTGTGAAATTTGTTAGAGGATTAGAAATGTTGATGTTATACAGTATGCTTTGAGAGAAAAATGAACAAAAAGCACTTCTAACATAAGCTAAGGAGAAAATTTTATTTTTGGACATTAAAGTAATTTTTTTTTTAACACTTCCAGTAAAAACACTTATATTTCATAGAAAGTTATATCAGATGAATATACATTCTGTATAAAAACTGAAAATCACTATTTAATCTTGTGGTATCCTATTTTTTCCCATTATTGGTGCAACATAAAGGGCCTTATGTCTTGAATAAACTAAAATGAAAGAAATTATATGAGTAATTTGCCTTATATTTCTTTTTTTGCAGAGTGTGTTAAGAGAAGAGAGACTTGCACATTTTTTCCTTGCTGCTTCTGTCAGCTAGAAAGACTGTTTTCTGCTTTGTGTTAATGTAGCTGTTGAAAAAAAACAGTCTAGGACTAAAACATTCAATAGATGAGAGGTTCATTGCCCCTTCTGCCCTAAATTTCTAACTGTAGTTTTGTGACATAAAAAGGACAAATTTCTAGCCTAAAAATAGAATTGGATGGCACCTCTGGACACCATCTAGTCCAACACTCTTCTGAAACCACTGCTCAGACTTCAGATACACAGATATTCAAACATTACACCTTGCATTATGATGGGAAAACTGTGAGAGTGTTCCAGAACAAAGACGTGGAGGGAAACTAAACCCAGTTACACCAAGCTTTGCACAGGACTTTTCATTCCATGTGAAAAAATTGAAGAAGGAAGTAGCTCCCTACATTCAGAAATTAAGTGTGTACATGCCTCAAAGGGCAGCACAAGATCTTATGCAAGAGATGTCATGCTTTTGCAAGGGTGGGCTTCCAGAAAGGAGTAATTTACTATGTTCCTTGATGACTCTCATTTGAAGACATTTCATGACAGACAGAGGTAAGCAAAGCTTTCCTAGCTGGCCTTGCATCCTTCTAAGCAGAAGTCAGTTTTGGATGGTTTGCAACACAAGATCTCTTTTGTGTCTTGCTGCATTTAGCTCAGATGTAAACAGTGAAAATACAGCCAAGTTTACATTTATATTGCTTAACTTTAACTTTATTAACTACAAATTAACTATGAAAAGTCCAAAGCTTGTAAGACAAAAGAGGTCAGCGGTCACTCCAAGCTACTGGCAGGCAGACAGGAACAGACAGGTGCAAAATCATAACTCAGGTGCAGGTGGAAACAGTGATGCCAGCAGCAAAACAAAACGTCTGAACATGAAAGAGCTCTAAAAAATTTATGAGAAACATTCTGCCTCATTACCTTTGGGCTTGTAGCAAGGAGTGGGTACAACACATTCTTCTTTTATGTGTGGCTTTGTTTTAGTACTACAGCCTCCTGTATGCATCCCTCTGTGGTCAATGCAGAGGACCACACGGTATCTGAGTCCTTGTCCACAGGTCACAGTGCACTGGATTATAAAAAAAAACCATGAAAGGAGAAAATGAAAAGGAGAAAAAATGGTCACACATAGCAATCATAAATAAATAAGGGGAATATGCAACATAAGAGAGGCAAACATGATGCAGAAACATCCAAACTTGAAAATAAAATAATTGTAATATTTGGTAATTAGGGATAAGGTATAAAATTGATAGGAACTTTTGCTTTTTTGCTCAGAACATATACTTGATTTGAACATTTTGCCCCTGGACTTGTTTTGCAGTGCCACTTTCGCAATGTTGCCTGCTTGGCTTGTAGCCATCAGTCCCATACTGGATAAGCTCAGTAACACGTTGTCAGTTTAATTTGGAGCCACTCTGTTTTGCTTGGACAAAGTACTGGGGCTCATGTGTCAACAGGCATTACACTCAGCTATTCTGGAAAAAAGCACCAAACAGAATGGCAAACTATCAGGCCTTTTCCCCTCAGACAGTTTTTAAAGGTTTTTTTTGTTTGTTTGGTTGTTTTGTTTTTTTAATTTTTTAATTTATTTTTACTCTGATTCATCAACTTTTACCCCCTGCACAGGTTGCTTCAAAATTGGTTGCACAGGAGACGATCAGTTGGAAGCACTATGGATGTTACCAATGCTGTTTTGCTCTTGGACAGCAGCTTTCATCTGAAAATCAGCAAACACTTTGCAATCAGTCAAGAACACCTCATCTGTAGGCAACCTAGCCAAGCTTCTAAAGCACAATTTACTTGTTGAGAAACTGGGGTGGTGAGAAAATATATTCAAGCCAAGCCTTTATGTACTAAGTTAAAATATTTCATTACTTTTGTGGAAGGATATTTCCAAGACATTTACTTTCATAGAGATGGAAAGGCAAGTCAGAAACAGACAAATACAGGTATCAAAGAGCAGAGTCATATACAGATGTATGTGCTTCTTGAAACTTCTCAGTGATTTTAAGTTTCAATTTATGACTGAAATACTGTAATACAGAAATACCATTACATACTTATTGGGGTTTTTTTGCTGCATTTCAGTTATATTCCCAGTCTATTTTTAGTAGAAGGTCACAAAATAATGTTACAGAGCTGATTTATTTTTCCATCATTCTCCTTGCTCATGTTCATCTTATAAATATATTTTCCCTGAGTGGTTACTTTGCAGTTAGACAAATAGCATAATTTAAAATAGAGGTGTTGGTAATGAGAGAAAACAGTAAATGTTCTAACTTGCAAAAACTCACTGAAGTATGATTTAAGATATTTTCCCTAGTGCATTAAACACAAAACTAGCAAAACTAAATTGATTACCGGAGACCATTCTTGAGCAAGCCACTTTGGACAGTCAAATATATTGCAAGGCTGGACAACAGGCATCTTTGGAGTATACATGCATTTCCATTCATCTACGGGGCTGATGTGCCCCTGAATGTCTTCTTCCACACAGGAGACGCTGCGGCTTTGAATGCCCCCTCCACAGGATGAGGAACAGGCAGTCCAGGGTGTACTTTCCCATCTGGGAAAGCAAAGAAGCATCAGGAAACATGACCCTTCTTCTTCCCACTCCCACCTGTACCCCCAAAATGCATAAACTGCTATCTGTAGGGCTACTTGTTGTTATGAGGTTTTTTGTTTGGTTGTGGTTTGTTTTGGTTTGGTTTTGTTTGGTTTAGCTTGGCTCAGCTCGGTTTTTGGTTTTTTTTTACCAGGGTAACATCAGTAAAAATTAATCATGTATCTATTTTCACAGGTGTCCACAGCAACAAAGCATGCTCATGGCTGGTGTCTTTTACACCACAGTTAATAATATGAAATCTCCTCTACCCCACTAATCCAATTACTACTGCCACAGAAAAGCTAAATACTTTTTACTTAGGGTTTTTTTTTTTCCATTTTTTTAATTGATGGGAATATCAAGTTTTCATAATTTCTCATATTCTGAAGAATCTTTATCACAAATCACAGGTGTGCTATGAGGCTGATGTCCCTTTTTCAGAACATAAAGAGAAAGAGTGGTGTTTTTTCCAAGGAAGGAACTCAATAGAGAAAAAAGAAAGAAAGATGAGAGGAAATTACCAAAAAGAAAATGTGACTATACTTATAAGATACATGTCCTCTGATGGATAAACCAGGCGGATCTTGTCTCCTTACAGTTAAGGCAGTGAAAAGCACTGAGAACCCATCTTTTCTCTACAAATACCATTGAGAACGTGATGAAAAATCCTAAGAACAATATATGCATGTTCTGAAAAGCTATGAATACTTATGAGAATCCGTTTTTTAGTGATGCATATGCTATAAGCTATGCATTACTTGATATATATACATGTCCTTCCACATAAAATAGTCTGGTATTGCCTCTGTTATATTCAAGCCTTTGTCACAGTTTGGATGTGGGACCATTCCCACCATCTAATGTGGATATTCCTGTAAATTACTATGCATGACTTAAGCACAGAAGTATGTGTGTTCTGCCTACCTGGAAACAGTTCATGAAATAATTTATTACCCCACAAGGCAATTATCTTTTTCATAATGACATTACAAATACTGTTTGAAACAACAATTTTAGTCAACAAAAGATTTCAGTTTTTGACCTCAAAGAACAGTTTTTCTAAAAAACACCCCAACTGTTTCCTCCTTCAGACAAAAAGTAAAAGAAGTGAAAGGTGAGGACTTTTATTGTCTCACTTAAAGGAAATATTTGTTAAGCAACAAATACAGGATCCCCAAGATTGTTGAGCAATATGAAAAATGCTTATCTTTCTCTCTAATTTTACATCATATCAGCCCACAATCTTCTCATCAGCTCCAGCATATCTAGCAATACCCTCACCTGGCTACTGTCCGGTAGCACCATAAAACTCAAAACAGCTAAAATTAAAAGTTGTTTACAAGTAGTAAAGCCACTGATTAATTCTGTGACTTACCACTAGGAGTGGTGGAACAATTTTTACACCATGCACAGCCATCATCACGTGCTGATCATAAGCCACATATTTTACAAAGATGTAATTTTAGGTATACTTCTACTTCAGTGTGTTTCCTGTGGCTCTGCTGAACAAGTCTCCCAACATACAGCTAAGGTTTCTTATTATCACAAACAAGAGGCCCCAAACTGAAATCAGTGAACTGTAAAATTTGCTTGGCTCAAAATTTGATGGGTCAGCCCACCTGAGCCATCTTTTCCTAGCCTTAAAAAGTGATGGTACCAGGAAATTTCCTGAAGTCTTTGGGCCAAATTTCCAGGTGTCTTAGGCAACCTTAGCAATTTCAAGTAGCTTAAATATAGCAGAGAGTTTTGTTCTCAGTTGGAGGTTGGTCCATGTTTTGGCTGGAGACTGTGGAGTGTGAACACGCTGCATTTGTACACTGATGCTGAAACCTCTGTGCATCAGGCCTCAGTATAATTGGATGGAGGTTGTTTCATCACCTGGATGAGACTATCAAGTTGTCTAAAGGGTTCTTTCCATGATTTCATGTGCATGACACAATAAATTAATAAAGAAGAAAGCACAGCACAATACTTTTGCATGTCCAGGCAGTATTTCAAAACCTAGAGGTTATTATTCTTTAGCTATCAAAAATTTTTATCATCAACAGTCTTATTCACTGCTTTAAAAACAATGACTCATCTGATTATTGCCATGAGAATTTTGAGTCTTACATTAAAGACATTTTAATTGTGAGATAATGATAAAAATCAGGTCTTGATCCTATTTCTGCCCTGATCACCTATTTCTTAGAAAAACCAGTGAACTAATGCCCCTGGGAAAGTCATTAGCATGAGTTTGTAGGATCAGAAAACAACACTAATGTTGTCAAAACCCAAAAGCTCACAAATTATAGACATGTAAGAAACAGGAAATTGGGGGTGAGGGAGAGAAAATCTTGTGGTTCATAACAAAGCCACAGCTTATAGTTCTGCTCAGAGAGGAGTAAAAGGCAAGAATAGGAAAGTTGTGAGAGAAAAGGGAAAGTGGGGTCGAGGAAGGGGAGAAAGAAAGGGATCACACACTTAACAAATCTGCACTTCTCCTTCAGATAGGCTATAATTTCAGTTCTGCATTGACAGAATTTATTACAACAGGTTAGGACTTGAACATCTCTACATTAATCTGTTAGAGTCCAGAGAAGCAGGATCTGTTAATTTAGCCTGAGACTAAAGCAGAAGTACAGAGAAGAGCAAAAGAAAAAGAAAATGGACTTGTTAAGCCTAGCATCTGGTTGACTGTTTTACATACCGAGGAAGGGGATGGTAGAGGTCATAGGGCATGATCTGCTTGTATCCATCACTGTTAGGAACAATAATGCCAACCCTCTGAGTAGAAGGTACACATAATAAAATAAACACTAGATGATTACATTATACAAGTTTTGTATTACAATATTGTATTACATTACACAACTTTTTGTATTACAGTATTATAAATCAACAAAACAAAATATTTTACCTAAGATGTTATCCCATTAAAAAAAATACACTCCCATCCTACTTTTTCTGAGTAATTCAAAGAATAAATCAGTGGTTACTACTTTTTTCTTATAAATATTATTGTTTGACAAATAAGCAATCTATTGCTAAAAGTGACCCAAATATTATTTTAACTTACATTTTTATTATCTAGCGTCAAAAAGAATGTTCCTATACTTGATACATTCTTGGAGCTTGGATCCAAAGTCACTGAGGACAATAGAGGAACTTCTATCTGCTGGAGACCTCTAAATAAAATCCTTTTAATAACTATTATATGGTTGTTTCTGCCCATCGAATAAAACCTCTGCTTTTACAAGTTACAGGATTAGAAATCTGGGTAATCACACTGCAAGAATTTGTATCTGCAATGCTTGTCTTTTCACCTTAAATGAGTCCAGACCTGCATTTTCTTTTTTCCCTGAAAGAAAGAAGGAACCTGAGAAGAGATTAACATGTCAGGTAGAACTTTTTTGTTTGTCATAACTGGTTGGATTGCTTTGCTGAAGTGTTATTATTGGTGTGGTATCACAATGTAACACCTAAAAGTTATAGAAGGCAATAGCATACATCAAAATTAGGAGTTATCTGAAATATTATCTTGCCAGTTATGTGTGAGATGGACGGAATTTTTCTCATTGACACCTACAGGGTCTCACTGAATTGCTGGTCTGTATTTTGTCTGCACTGTTTATAATTTTGGCTCAGAGTAATTTTAACCATATTGTTTCCCAGTTATCAGACATATCTATTAAAATAAAACAGATGATTGTGGAGGACCTAATTTATCACCTTCATCAAGGCCACTTGGGTATTTGGATGGGGCAAGTGGACAGAAAAATCAAGAAGTGAACACTAATTGCATTAAAATAAAAAGTGTGTCTCCATCCAAGTTACAGAGAGATGAAACTGAATGTCAAGAATAAAGGTGTTTTTTGGGAGCCTTTTACAGATGAGAGGTGGTAGGTATGTTGCTATGGATTTCTGCAAGGGGGAAGGAGTGAAGGAGGGGGAAGGGAGAAAGTAATCTCTATCCTCAACACAGCTCACTGAAAAATGCTGTGAGCATTCAAAGAGTCTTGTCAGGCCAGGCCAAAAGGGGTCTATTTTCCTTTTAGTCAACAGGGGTTTTATATGCATAACTTGTCCAAGATAGAAGAATAGATCCCATTGTGTTTCCACAGCAAGGAGTCAGTGCCAGGTCAGTGTGTTGGAATTTTCCAGCTAAAGCGCGGGAAGCAGCTGGAGCCCTGGAAGTGTGTGAGAGGGACTAGACAGTTCCCTCTAAGATTAGCAGCCACTGCAGTCACAGGAACCCTCTGCATGAGTGCACATATTTGCATTTTCGAAGAGCTGCCCATCTTCACAAAAATCTAAAAATCTAGGAGAGGTTGTTCTGGCACTGGGACTTTGGAAAAGACAAATGGGTCATTTAGAGTAAGGGCAACGAACAAGTCTTTTCACACTTAGCCTGATGGGTACACATCTGTAGAATGTGGAGGAATTGTGTACTAGTATTTTAAGAAGATGGAAGCAAACTTCTTGTGAGGGTTTTTTTGCCCCTGCCTTTGGGAATTTGCTGTTTTCCTGACTCTTCTACTACTGCTGTTGAAGTTCCACTCTGAAGCCCTCTGTTTGCACTTTCCAGCTCATCAGTTTGCTGAGAAGTGGTTGGGGAAAAAAGTTAACATAGTGAATTAAAAAATGAAAGAATTACATATAAAAGCATCTACTGCCTAAGAAAGAAGCAGATTTTTAAAAAAAATCTTATTCATTGCAGTGAAAAGTATTTTGTTTCTAATAAACATGATTGTCTATGCGTAATCCAGGTCTACATTCTTTAGAATGCATTACTTCTAAGACTATTCAGATAGAAATAACTGTACAATATTAAAGAACTGTTATGAATATTAAGTAACATTTACAAAGCCCCAGGTTAATATTGTAATTTGAAAGGTTTGACCCTCAAAAATTCTGCATGCAAAAATTGCATTTCTGTAAACAGTATTGAGCTTCACAGATTTATTGATTCAGTCTTTTTCCATATGTGAGGGGCTGCCAAGGGCTCTCATTCTGCAACTACAAGAAAATGAATCAGCACAATAAAGTCTTAGCAAGGAAAAAGACCCCCACAATAAAACACAATGGTTTAATTTATTACTTTAAAAATAATTGTCTTAAAGATAAAACAGAAAAGCAGATGGTCATCGTATCATTAATGTCATCTGCACTTTTCTAGCTAGTCTTGTGTGAGGTTTTTTGTATGAGCTCCATAAAAAAATCCCTAAGACTAAGTTAACATTTAAAAAAAAGCTTAAGAGATTACTTTGGTGTATTCTTATTTTTTTGATGGGACAAAGTGGTTTAAATTCCATTATTCTAGGAGTCCATCATACGCCTATAAACAACATGGAAGAGATCTACTTTATGGGGTTTATTTACTGCACATTACCCGTACAATGCAAAGGGGATGGTGTGTTAAATGAGCAGAGGAAATAACAATTCCTTCACTGAAATATGTGCGAGTAGCTAACAGGAGTCATTCACAAAACATCAAGAGATTTGGCAGGAGCAGGAGCACAAAGCAAATTACTTTGCAGAGCTGTTCTGTTTTATATGTCTGCAATCTACCGTGCCTTTCAGACCAACAAGTCCTATCATATATTCTGCACATTGTTTTTTTTCCCTCCTGAGGGCTGGCAGTCTCAACACAATTGCTCTTCCAAGGCACGTGTATGGTTGGAATGGGAGCTGCCAGAGGTGAGAGTGCTGCAATCAGATCTGCCATCTCTGCAAACATTCAGCCTTCCCCTGGGATGAGTTTCCCCAGCTGCATTCCTTGGAAGACAAGTTTGGTCAACTCCTCCCCAACTGTTCCTTTTACTGCTTAACTGGATTTAGCACATATGACAAGCTTTAAGCTCAAGTGCCTTTCTCCTCTACCTCCCTGATGACTCCATCTTTCTGACAAGGCCAGCCCATCCCAGCTCTCTCTCCTGCATGCCGATGAGTCTCAGGTTAGAACCCGTTGAGCCAAGTGGGGGCATGGTTGCTAAAACTGAGAGAGGAGCCAGCAGGGAGAAAGGACATCTGCTCCCAAGGTGCCTCAGGGTGGCATGACTCACATGGGGACAACCTGCCACTCCTGTGCTGATGTCCTGCACCCTTGCTGTGCTGCTGCCCAGCCTTTGCAGGATGCTCAAGTGCCTCTGGTTCACAGCCTCCACTTCTGCTGAGGGCTTTGTTTTGCCAGGGGTGTCCTACTGACAGCTGCAGGGCTGCCCATGCAATAACCCGGGTGACTGCACCCGTTATACCTCTTCCCTGATCAGACTTGCACGTGAAGACTTAAGCTTTCACTGAACTCTGTCAGACCTGAGAGTAAATATCTGCATGGCAGGGACTGTGCCATGCTATCAATGGAATACGTTTAAGACATTATGAGCTGTGAACAAATGAATTGTTAAAGTAGCTTGGGTTGGCTATGCTGGAAGACATGAAAGTGCTCACCAACAGAGACAACAGTTTAGCATCCAAGCCAGCATTTCTGTGAAAGCCATGATTATCACTAGACAGACAACAATCTGGTGCAAAAGATTGCATTTTAACACTTCAAATCCTGACACTAAGGTGGTGCGTGATACTGCACTTCAGTGATCTCTGAAGATGCCACACTGTGACATTATCTCGTGCTACAAGAACACTTTCTGTGTTGAGAAACAGTTAATGAGGCCTGAAACAGATGGTATCTCTTCAGAGCTGGGGTAGATAACACTAACACCAGGGGTATAGGCAACATTGGTTTCAGTGCCTACTTTTGCAGGCAGTGAAACAGTAATTCTCAGTTATGCTACCAGTGTGAGTCACCTTTCTGGATCTGGATGCTATCAATGTGAAACTGAACTACCGTGTACATTGTATGCATATGTCCTTTTATATGCTCTTAGCACTTTACAGATTGGCAAAAGCCAATGTCTGCTGCTTAAACATTTAAAAGTGGTATGTCAGTGGATACTTTAAAAACACTATTGAGAAAGCCATCCTTTTGTATCAGCATCCAAAAAACCTCTTGCTTTAAACAGAATGTCTGTTTGGCATGACAGTATCTTACCTTTATAAAAAATGTCTTGTTTATGGTGCAGAGATTTTAAATTCTAAGTGACATATGGTTTGTCATTGCCACAGACTGCTAAAACCCAATGTCTTCACAGTGTGTGAAAGAGATGTTTCCAGCAGCATGACTATAATGCTTCTAAACACCTCCTTTTTTAAATTCAGTTCAATATTTTATGGTGGTTTGGATGAGCAATGTTTGATACAAAGAGGGAATGAGCCGATAAGTAGTTAACAGTACTAAACTTTAACAACTGAATATCCAGTGAAAATCTCCATAAATTATTTGCTGCAGTTTTGGCATCTTCTAGCACTTAAACCAGACTAATTTTCCTGTAACTTCATTTTGGGCAGACAGATATGATGGTCATAGCAGTACACGATATGTTTTTCCCACCTTACAGCTTGTTACTGGAAGTATCCTGGAAGCTCTTTTCTGCCTTTCTTTCCGTGTTTCATTAATATGTATTGTCCCCTCAGAGCTGAATTTGCAATGCTATTCACATCTTTGAAGTGCTTGACAAGTGCTTCCTAGCCCACCCCTTCTACCTATTCTGACAAAGTTATTTTCTAGATTAATTTAGATTACTTTTGCCCTGTCCAAAAGTTCAAGGTTCCAACTGCTTTTATTGAGAAATGTATCTCTTCAGGCATTAGAATTATCTGCTGCTTGTCTTTACCCCGCTCTTGAACTCGGGTAACCCAGATTATTACTATGAGAACATTGCCATGGTACCAGCTCCTTTTCCATCTAGAATTCCACTTTCACATTGCCAAGTATATTATGGACTTCTCACTACTTAGAATCACTCTGAATGGTCATAGCATCCTGGTGTCTTTTGTATGCTTTTACTTGTACTTCAGTGCTCTTGCTATATTAGCTGAAAATGAACAACTGAAAACTACAATTTTATTAAAATTTAAATTTTATTTTAAATTTCTTTTTGGTAATTCCAAACCTCTGCCACCACCATATCAATATTTAAATGAAAATGCTAAAAGAAAAACTTTGATAAGCAGGAAAAGGAGTTTGCAATTTCTCTGGAAGACTCCATAAACAGGATATATCTAAGAGTTCTTCTGGTCTCTGGACACTGAAAACCTTGCTGGAATGAGAGATTCTACACCCCCCCCTCCCCCAAAATTTTCCACAGGTATAAACAATATTTCTAGTGGCAGGTTTACAGATTGAACTCCAAGAACTGAAGTGTTAAAATGAACACCTTATGCTAGAGGCTTGCTAATACAAAATTTTTTAAACAGTTGCTTTATGAATTTAGAATCTTTGCTGAAGTTGTCTTTAGAAATCTTTATATGACATTGAAATCATTGAAATTTCCTGGTAAAAACACGAATAAACCTTTTGTGACTCAGAAACTCTCACATTAACATGTAGCAGCAATAGACAAAAAATATGGGAGATTAGTAAAAATGCAGAATGGCATGGCTGGGAATGCCACCTAAAAGCTGAAATCTAGCAATAATACTGAGGGTATCCTGGTGAGTGAGTGAATGATGGGTGGGGCAGCAGCCTTTTTCACATTTGGGTCAAAATTGGTTTTTGCAGGGAAACCTTGGAATTATGAAGCAAATTTATCTTCTGTTTGTAGCACCTTGGAATTGTCCTAAACAAGTGTAGCACACCCAGTTAAATCAAATCTGAACAAACCTCTTCTCTAGCAAGAAAAAAAAAATACCCATTCACTTTTTATTAAAATTTATCAGAAAGGAGGATAAAGATGAAAGCTAAAAATTCCTTCCAGTCTGTGAAGTTTTGGGTAGTTACAAGATTTTCACTTAATTAAATAGGCAAAATACTAATGTTGGATTTTGCCCCATGGAAGGGGAGTGGACTAGATTGATTTGGCTGCTGTTTACATCAGTAGGTAATATGCATATAGACTTATTTTTGCCAGTCAAAGGCAGACTATAAAATCATAATGGACTGTAAACAAACAGATCTTTCCTTTTTACTTGTTGGTTATTATGAGCTGGATGCAAAACAGGTTTTATAAGAGAGGCTGAACGGAGCATTGTTATGTAGGGATTAAAAGGCACTCAGTGTCACTGTATATTGTGTTCTGTGACATGAATCACTGGCCTGACTTGGATGAACAGTATATGTGGCTGCCTCTACCTAACTTGGAAAACGAGTATGTATAAGATATGTGTTTGATAAATAACCATCCACATACTTTCCCATGTTTATTGAGACTAAACTTTTTTGCTATTCATGAGGCCAGCAATACTGCTAATTATTGCCATAGTAAGCACAATGAAGTAAACATTTCTATGCACTAAACCTAAAGAGGCAACTTACTGCAGGCTCACACAATACTTGTGGCATTCATTTAAACTTTTCTTTCAGTTTTCCCTTTGCTGCAAATTTTAGTGTTTAGTGTTCAGAGCAACCACTCTCAGTTCCTTTATTCAGTGCCACTATGGTCTTCAATGATTATTTTCTGTGGCATTCATTAACACACCATAGGAACAGTCAGCAACCACTAATCAGCTATGCCTCACTGGAACTGGGTTTGCCAGGAAAAATTAACTTCTTGGTTTTATACTGGTGGAGCAGAGCATCTTCCACACAGAAAAGACACTGTAGAGCCAATATGCCCTCCTTGTCCACGCTTCTGACCCCATGTTTCTGCTTCACCTACCCTCTTCCCTACTGCTAGAAATCATCAGAAGTTACCAGAATCTAGAAGTTACCAAGGATTTCCTCTGTTCTTTTTTTCCCTCTGGTTGTTGATTCTTGAATTCTTTACAAAGGCACTTTTGCAAATAGTAATTTGAAATTTGGCAGACTGTGAAGATGTTTTCAAAAAGCCAGTTCCTCTGGGATGGCATAGCTGTATTTCTACATAACTCTCCCTCCCCTCAGGGTCTTTATAACAACAACTTTGCCTTGTTATGTCTTATATAAAACAAAATCAGTTCCTGACATCTGCCCAGCTGTTATTTTTTTCCTATTTCCTCTCATATACCACACAGTCATCTGCATCACCAATTTGAGAATATGTTATTTAAAATCATTGAGAAAGTATGGAACACATCCACCACACAAATTCCAGAGGCAAATTACATACTTGACCCAGAAGAGTAGGTTTAAAAAATAGCATCTTAGAATTAAAAAAAAAAAAAAATAAAGCAACTGCATAAAATTACTTTCTCATTGAGACTGTGATAGGGAACTCTAGAAGATAGGTTCCATATTGATTCATATTTTTCAACAATCCATTTCCTGAAACATTCCTGTTTTGGCCTTCTACCTGATCATACCTGGCCTCTACTGGCATCTGCCTCTAATAAAAGGTGCTTATATGAGTAAAGGCATATAAACTGCAATACACTCTAGGTAAAGGTGTCTTCAATGACAAAGAAATCTGAGTGTTAACACAAAAAAAGGTCAGTGAACTTCAGCGAAAACTTCCTGTAAGAAATAAAACCTATCTTTGCCTTAAAGTGATTTGTTCTGCTATGATAATGCCTAGCTGCTCTAGAGCTGGTACATCTGATTTGGGCAGCAGCCACCCTCAGTCAGGTGGATACACAGCCCTGCAGGTTTCTTAAGTATCCTTTTTCTCATCAGGACATCTTTTCTCTTTGACAACCTCCAGCAATCTGAAGCGACACAGCAACTTTTAGGTGACGCTTGAACTCACAATATCAAAGTTGGTAAGAAACAAGCCTAGAGGAAAAGGAGCTGGTGACAATATGGCTTTAGGGCATCCTTGTTATGTCTGCTGGGCAATGCTTAACTACCTTTTAGCAAAGCCATACAAGAAGACCAAAAGATTTAGACTGCACAAATAAATCTTAGCTGCCTATTGAGCGGCTGCAGATGGACTCCCACTGAAGTTCAGGACAATCAGTGCAACAAAGCATTGGCTCTTTTTTGTGGTTTTCTTTCTTTTCTTATACATGGAAAATCTGACTATCTGATCTTACTATGCTTATTGTTGTTCTTCTGAGGAAGAATGCACAGTAAGTTCTACCTTTATACCAGGAATAATGTCTTTACTATGCAGTTCCAGTGAACTGGCACAATCGCCCAGGGAGGTTGTGAAGTCGCTCTCACTGGGGATGTTCAAGAATTATCTGAACACGATCCTGTGTCCTGTGCCATGTGCTCTGGGATGACCCTGCCTGAGCAGGGAGGTTGAACCAGATTACCCGCTATGGTTCCTTCCAACCCGACCCATTCTGTGATTCTAGGGGCAGCAGAGATCAGACTTTCATGCAGGGCCAAAGGACATTGTTAACTAGAACAAAATCACTCATTCCATTTTACAAGCTTCTGTAAATGCAAGCAGGCTTTTCATTAAGGAGAAAATTAAAAAAAACCCCAAACCTCATGGAAATAGTTCATCTAAATGTGATGACAATAATTTTCATGCAAAAAGAATTTTTTCCATCTCACTAACACTTAAGAGACATATATTCAGCACATGCATTCAGAGCATGGGGATGGTATCATGGACAATTTGTTTTCTCATACTTGGTAACAATTAATGAAGCAAAATACATTCTGAGGGGAAGAAACAACCATTTCAAATCAGTCTTTGCTCTGTGAAGGTGCTAAATAGGTGTTCTACACTGTGCACTTTTAGAATGAGAGGTTGAATTATATATGATAAATGACACTGTGAGAAATAGCAACAGAATATTTTCCTATTTTATTTTACCCCTTTAGAGCTCAGTCTCCTTTAAAATTAAAGCCAACTGACCTTGCAGGACAAGGATCCAGATTACACTCTTGAAGTTTTGGCTTTGGCTTGACATTTTCAGGATAATAGTGACAGTATTGATCTGCTACTACCCGATTGCTTCTCAGATCAAAGCACTCAGCAGATGTCAATTGATAACCTGCGATACACAGAGGAATAAATAATATGAGATGTGATATTCTTCCTGTCTGGGTCTGAAAGGTATCTAAGTTTTAGGTTGGAAAAAGGAAACTAATTTCAGCTTGCTTCAGTGCTTTTGGACATAACAGCTGTTGTTTTACAGGCCAGATTGAAAGTAGCAATGAAAATCACATGTAGTAGGAAACAGAAGATAACCAGTATGGTCAAACAAAAATTTAGAAGTCTAGAAAAAACAAAGAAAAAACAAAGGCTGAGATTTTTTAGTTACCAAGAATTGTACCCTTGGTTTTAGTATAGAGAATAAACCTGGCAGGAAAAGGGACAAATGGAGACACCTTGTTTTACTAAATCCAGGCCCAAATCCCATCAGCACTTATGTCTGACAGCTATAGCATTAAATACAGATATGTAGTTATCAACATGTCCTTTATCTACAGAGTCTGGCACACTGCTGAAAATCTACATGCTACTACTGTGTTGCTAAATCCCTCCCTTCATTTAGTTGTAACTATTCAAATTTTTAGATCTTGCCTATTTTTAAGGTCCAAAACTCAGGGTAGCAGTTGGGACAGGTCATGTATGCAGATGACAGCTTCTGAAATACGGTGGTAATCCATTACCTCCACCACAGGATGCTGAACAAGGGAAAAAATCAGTTTCCCTCCATCTGTGAATGATTGGCTGGTAGAAGATGAACTGGACTGAACTGTCAGCAGCACCACCATAATGGATCTGAAAAAGAGATTATATCAAAGAGGGAACTTAACACAAATGCTGTGAAGAAGTATTCCACCAAAGCATCTTACAGATTGGAGACATCGTGAAGCTTCATGAAATACCAGATATATTTTGCAAGAGGAAAACTAAATACAAAACCAAAGCATTGATTGGTGGCAAAATCTTGGGTTCAAAACACAGTCAAATAAATTTCTGGGCATAACCAGTGCCCATTTTGAGGCCACATTCTGAAATAATGAGTGCATGGCAAACGTATGATTAGTGCTACTGAGTAATCTCATAGGGACAGAGGATAGGGACTGATGTTTAATGAATCAGAAAATCACTTTCCTCTATCTGTTGTCCCTGACATATGGACATAGATTTTAGATCTTTAAAGTCTCTCAAAAAACAGTTACAATGTACTTGATAGTATGGAGTAAAACATGGGAGCCTGCACAGTGAAAAATAATAAACAGCATAAAACCTTTAATTCACCTTTTTTTTGCTTCCTGAGGCGAGGTCTTTATTTCACTCTCCTTTGTGGCACTGTTATTACTATAAAGTTTGTTCTTCTACTTACTTTATTTTGCTTGTAAAAATGCTTCCTTCGGTCATAGGCATGGAATCCTGGCTGGGGCTAAGTCCATGTCTGCAAAACTGTCCTCAGAGCCTACAAGCCACTTGAGCTTAAAAGCTAGCATGCTTTCAATACTAGGTGTGCTGAATGGACATTCCACATTAAAAAGTCTGTAGTGCAAGGACTACAATAGGAGAGATCTTCACACTGGTAAAGCAGCATCACTTACACCCTGTCCAGTATAAAAATCCTTCCTGTCTGATATCTATGCTGATTAATCCAGTTATGAGGACTTCAACATCTCAGCAGGTTGTCCTTACCTTTATTCCTCTGCATGAACAGCTGGAAAGAACAAAAATCTGCTACTAAAAACCTCTCCTATTTGACTATTTGTCCTAGAACACAGTGTTGCTTGAGCATCTCTGTGCCAGAGATGCTGCTTGAGCATCTCTGTGCCAGTGGCATGATGCCATCACAGCTTTGTCCTAGAACACAGTGTTTCAGTGCTGCTTGAGCATCTCTGTGCCAGTGGCATGATGCCATCACAGTAGAGAAAACTGCCAAATAACATCTAGAAAAGATGGACCCTTCTCCAAGACAGTAGTGCTGCTCTCAGGAGCAACCCTCCCTCCTTTTTTTTCAGACAGCTTAAAACTCTTTAACCACTGCCTCCTTTTCCTTTTTTTCTCTCATGTTTCAAATTAGTCTCCCAGTCTTGGAAACACCATTTTTCCCTTACTCTTCTCTCTTTCCAAATACCAATAGAAACTTTCAAAGAATGGTCTGTGAAACGGAAGCAAAAATATGACAAATTGAGATGAAGTTTGTAACTTGGATTGTTTGTTTTGTTTTCCCCTGTAGATGGACAGCAACATGATTACAAACCGAGATATATCTTGAAGAGCAGGAGGAGGGCGAGAATGTTGATGTGCTCGTGAGGTCTGGTCCACTGAGGCTAAGGCTGCCCTTTTCTAATTAAACAGTGATGTCAATTCTCAAAAGGAAAAAAACCCAAACCAGCTGTAGCAATACAACTGCTTCAGCAAATGGGAGGCCTTGTGCACAGATCAATATTGTTTGAATGTGTGTGTCAGAAACAAGATACTTAATTCCTTGTGTGGGGATGGTGCATTAATTACACACTTCAGAAGGGTCTTTCTGGGCTCATGAAAGCTTCAGGCACTTCTGGGAAAATTGTTCTGGAAGCCATCTGGGGAGGTCTATGATCTCAATGTGCAGGAAAGGCATTCTCTGGGGAGAATCTGCTTTTACTCTTTGTTTTTTAAGGATCATCAGTGATTCCTAAACTCAGATCTACTCAGCAGTACGGTCTGCAGTGAATCATGAAGAACAGACCAAGAGTTCACACATGGGCTACTATAAAATGAAGGGGAGGGAAAAGGAACTTACACTGAAAAAAATGTAAATCAGGAAGAAAGAAGAGTTCTTCTCTCTCTGCAGACTATTCTTGCATGTTTGGAGATATCTGTCTGTTTAGACACAGAAAAGACAGACATACCATCCCTTCCAGTTTAATGTGGAAGTCACTAATACAGCCATGATAACAACATAGGTGGGGAAGAATTGCAATGAGCCACAGACTTAAGCTCAAATTATACAAAACAAGCAAATAAAAGAAGCATACAAAATATTGTGTATTTTTAAAGAGTATTGTAAGCAGAAGAGGAACAACAACATGTGATTCTATATAGCAAAACTTCTTGATTTTGTTTGACTGTTTGTTAGAGCTAAGATCTTTATCCAGGGAAAAACATCATTGGCTACTTGAGCCCTGAAAAATTCAGTGAGACTTGATAGCTAAATGCTGTAAGAAATGCTGTGGTTTGGCTGCACAGGGCCAGCTCCCACACATCGAAATACTCAGCTCTGTAGTATGATGAAATTTTTTACCCTTGCAGTATTAGTAACACCCTTGTAGCTATGAGAAATGCCAGAGATCCAAATAAAGATGGCCATCACCTGGGAATCTTAACCTAGTCCTCTAAATAACAACGAGTTTTGCACACTTAGGTAACTGAACTAAAAAAAGTAGCAATTGATAATTATATTTTCAAATAAAATCCTGTCTAAATTTATTAATAGCTGAAGTCCGAAGTACCCAGATCTTGCAGAGCACTCATCCCTGCATTTGTGCATGGCAACTCCCCAGATATAATCCTTGACTTTAACTTTCGGGGGAATTTGGAGCATTCCTAACATCAGAGTAGCCCTTACCACTTTCACAGAATCAGAGAATCACAGAATGAACTAGGCTGGAAAAGACCCTTGAGATCATCAAGCTCTACCTATGACTTAACGCCTCCTCATCAACTAAACCACGGCACCAAGTGTCACATCCAGTCTTTTTATAAATACCTCCACAAAGAGTAATTCTACCACCTCTCTGAGCAGATTATTCCAAAGACTGATTCCCTTAATCACTCTTTTAATGAAGAATGATAATGATTTTTTCCTAATGTTTAGGCTAAACTTCCCCTGGCACAGCTTAAGACTATGTCTTCTTGTTCTGTACTATTTGTCTGGGAGAAGAGGCTGACCCATACCTGGCTACATCCTCCTTTCAGGCAACTCCTGCTCCCTCAGTTCTTCCTCACAGAGTTTGTGTTCCAAGGCCCTCACCAGCCTCATTGCACTCCTCTGGACATGCTCAAGTGCCTCAAGGTCCTTCCCAAACTGAGGGGCCAGAACTGGACACAGTACTCAGGGTGCAGCTTCACCAGTGCCGAGTACAGGGGGAGAATGACCTCCCTGTTCCTGCTGGCCACACTATTCCCGATACAGGCCAGGATGGCACTGGCCTTCTTGGCCACCAGAGCACACTGCTGGCTCATGTTCAGTTGGCTGTCGACCCTAAAGAATAACACCAGTCTTCTAAGGAACTGGTTAAAACTAGAGTCTTCAGAATATCCACTGTCTAGCCTACAGTCACTATCAACAACTGTTGAAAGACCTTGGGAAAAAAAATCTCTTTTAGACTTTTTTTTACACTTATTTTCTAATGCCTGCCTAGGATGATGCAAGAGAAGCACAAACTGTTGCTCAGGTGAAGTTTGGAGTTGATAAAATGCAGATTTGGCTTGGGACATGTCACAGAAAGTCAAAAGAAAACAAGAAAAGAAAAATTTGAATACAAAAGGTGTGTAATACTTTTGATATATTCTGACCTGCTCTTTGAACAAGAGACTGCAACATCTGACTTCACCCTTGCACTGTGCCAGTTTTTCCTATAGCTCCAAAATTTTATTATTTCACATAAAACCAAACAAGTAAAGCTCCCAAAAGCCCAACCATTTCTTGCTTAATTTTGGCAGTGTATGCCTGAACCATTTCTTTTTGTTCTCTGAAGAACATATGGCCTGACCTACAAAACTGCAGTAGTTTACTTGGACAGTTTCAAAATTTAATCAGCACTTTATAACCAGCAGTCATAACTAAGTAATTACTAGTGTTACTTGTACAGCTGAGCCATGAAAAGTGTATTCAATAAAATGTTCTCATTTTATGCAGCTGGGGATAGGTGAGGAGGAAAGACACCATTTCTTTCTTGTGCGTGTGTGTGTGTGTTCCAAAATGGGGACGGAGAAAGGGAATTATTATTTTGTACCTCAGAATCATAGAATCATGAAGGCTGGAAAGGCTTCCCAGATCACGGAGTCCAACCTTCAACAAACACCACCATGTAAACTAAACCACAGCACTAAGTACCATGTCCAATTGTTTCCGGAATATTTCTAGGGATGGTGAGTCCACCACCTCCCTGGGCAGATGATTTCAATCCTGACTACCCTTTCAGTGAAGTTCTGCCTGATGTTCAACCTGGACATCCTCCGGCGCAGCTTAAGCCTGTGTCCTCCTGTCTTGTGAGTGGTTGCCTGTGAGAAGAGACCAACCCCAACCTGGGTACAGCCTCCTTTCAGGCAGTCATAGAGAGTGATAAGCCTCCTCCTCTCCAGGCTAAACAACCCCAGGTCCCTCAGCCACTCCTTGTAGGACTTATTCTCTAGGCCGTTCACCAGCTTTGTTGTCCTCCTCTGGAAATGCTCCAGCAAATTTTGTCTTACACAACTTGATGTGGTCTGCAATGAGCTAGCTCCATGCTTATTAGAAAAATTCTAATGGATTCTACCATATTATTATTCTGGTTCTGATTCTGATCCTGAATGCATTCTGCAAGTTCCACATACCAAATCATCAGATTGATACTAATGAAAATAATTAATGAGAAATCTGACAAATGTAATTTTGTGTTTCTCATGTCAGTATAAAAAATACTCTACCAAGAGTTCTTGAGTATTGCAGGTTGTATGTAGTGATATCTTGTACTGAAAAATCAAGGAGGATGTATGAGAGATTTGTTGCTGTTAATAATTTGTTCTTGAAGGAAATAGAAGCCAGACATTGCCATGGGAAAACA